GAAAAGACTAGAGTTGCCAGGAAAAGTCAAGATCCTTCGAAAATCTCATGACGTGTTACCAGCGTCACGTGATTTCCGCTGTCGTAACAATATTGCAAATACTTTTACGAGTTTGTATTAAACAGCAAAGTGCATCTTCGATGGCTGTGTTTACTTAGGTTTCAAACATGTACTGACAATATTTATTTACTAGAAATAGCAAAGACGTATTGTAATAATAATAATAATAGTCATAAAACAGTCTTTGTTATCAAATCTCTTCTTCATTCAATTTGTAGTGCAAACTTGAAATGGAAATTTTGGTTCAATAATGATTCATGAAATAAAGAATGATCAATTCTCTTTTTTTTTTACTTCGGTCTAAATTAATGCAAATCAATAGACAATTAAAACCATCAAATTATTCTTTTAACTTTTATTACGTTAAAAACAATCCATGAGAAAATTTACCTCATTACTAGGAAATATATAATATTTCTTTCCCATTAAAAACTGTGTCTTGCAAATAAAATCTCATAAAAATACAGCCTATTGTAACAGGATCCGTACTCTGATGAAGAATGTACAAGTCTTTTATTTTTCATTTGCAATAATGAATAAAATATAAACGCTCTAATTTCTAGAAAAGTTCCTGGTTTGTCTCAATAACAAAATTATTCATATCACAGCTTTATTGCGTCCGTTTATTTCAGGTTAAATTATTGTTACGACAGCGGAAGTCACGTGACTCTGGTAACAAGTAATGAGTATTTAGAAGGTTCGGGGAACATCACGAATAATCCAGTATATAAGCGCGCCAGATAAAGCGAGACAGTTTAATCGGAACTTGAATTGTAGACAGGCAGAGATAGAGACGGACAATTGAGTCAAGCGCGGTAGTGACCGTAAGTAAGGTGCGTGAATCGTTGTGAATTATAGCGTGTGGGAAAGTGAAAGTGACTGTGGAAATTCTGTGTACTGCAAAGTTGTATTGAGAAAGAATAAACTAGTTTTATTTAAGAAAGGACTTGTATCGCTGAAGTTCTTCGGGAAGAATTTCTACGGAAAATTAACAAACGACCAGAGACGTAACATTATAAAAACTAACTTTAAAATTTTAATGTTGTTTTAAAGTAGCAATACGATGTTGTTTAGGTTTTTTAAAATTTAATTTTACAAGTTTGGCCGATATACGTCACTGTGTAATCTAGTGTTTAAATTACGTAAACAACGATAACGATGTTTAAACTGTAAAGTAATAGAAAAAAGAACGAGTAATTTGTAGTCTTGAACTAATTAAACGAATCAATTACGTAAGGATGTCAAAGTCAATCAGAGATTAATAAACAACCTCTGTCCGGGTAATGTATCCTAATTACTTTAGTGTTTAAAAACTAGGGCATTTATCTTATTTCTGTCGTAACTAAGCTTGAGTGAGAATGAATGTAGACCTGTATACGTAACCTAAACCGTAATTTATAGCTAGGCCTTGTGAAATAACCAGGCCATTTTTTCACTTTCTGTGTAGAAGCTATATTTGGGGAAATTATCCAGTGTTTTGAATTGAATATAGGTTGTTTTTCTATTTAACAAAATTTATCTTGTATCCTGAGTAAAAGAGGAATATTCAGAGCTAAGGAGATAATTTAGATCTTGACATTACATACGGGGCCTTACTGACTCTTACTAAGACTAGTAAGTCTTAATCGTACTCTTAGTTATAAACGTTCACTGTGACTCAACATTTGTTTAAAAATTAAACAGAACAAATATATAGAGGTGATAATTCATAATACTTTGAGACTTGTCATACTTTTTAATAGGTTAATTTAACATAATATTTCAAGCTTCACAATGAAATTACTAAGTTTAAACTTTCAAACAATTACACCTTTGAATCGCAGTTATTAGTGCTATTCCAGGTTTTTGATTGACATCACTAATTGCAGTCTTGAAATTCAGTATGATAACTCTTAAATCTATCCCAGTATATTGATTCCAGATTTATAATGAATGACAAGTTCCAATTTTGAATTTTGTTATTACAAATTTTATCAATAAATTATAATTATTCATACCATCTTCGCTGTTGTTAAATATTTCATGTAATGAAATTAATAGTGGAATAATATGAATACAGAAAAAATTGCCTATCTAACTTACTAGAAAAAAGGTCAAGAACAACAAACACGTTTCCTTTTCTTCTAGCCACATCCAAAGCTTCTATTAATTCTCTTTGTCATTTTAGGATAATATTATGGCTTAACGAGAAACTGTACAAACCAGGGGTATTCCAAAGACTGTATTATACAGTCTGGTATTTCAAGACCTGCCTCATGAGATAATTTTGTATTTAGTAATTTTTGATAGATACTATTGTGAAGTTTTGTTTTGTGTTTGTATAACTTGGATTTTTCTTGTTACTACACTAAAGGTTGCTATTTGGTAAGATATATTATAAAGAAATTTTCTGTTTCATCGTTTTCAATTCCAACAAATCAAGAAAGAGCATAACAGAGTGCATTACTGAATGTCAAAGGTCTTCTGTTTAATAAGAACAAAAGAAGGAAACATTAATAACATGGTAAATAGAACTGAAATTAAAGTAGATCTTAGAAAAGCAACTTAAGACTCGAAAGTATCAAGTTCAAATTCGGGGTTTGATCCCCTCGATGGATACAGCTCTGCACGAAAACAACAATCCAATAGGCATGAAGATCACTAAACGTCCTTCAGACAAAAATAAAATACCACCTAAACCCCGTTAATCCAAAACTTACACACAAACAGACTCCAATCACAATGCGGCCATATATTCTGTTTATTAAAACATAAAACCTTTCAACACAAGGTCACTAAATTTCTCCAGTAAACTAAAATCTCACTTCTAAGAACCACTACAAACATTGAATTCTGGTGCTGACAAAGCATCATTACACAACGTGTTATATTAGTATTTACTAGTGCTAAGAACCACCACAAACATTGAATTCTGGTGCTGACAAAGCATCATTACACAACGTGTTATATTAGTATTTACTAGTTCTAAGAACCACTACAAACATTGAATTCTGGTGCTGACAAAGCATCAGTACACAACGTGTTATATTAGTATTTACTAGTTAATAATATATTACGATTAATTTTTATAATAGCATTCTGCATTTTTTAAATTTCGGTATTAACTAAAAGGTCATTACTTTTAAAATCTAATTAGTATTACTCTTCTCAGAAAAGAAAAAGAAAATCATCTACAAAAATGGATTATATTTCATAGCATATTATTATCCAAACTCATTTCAAATGAAAATCTTTTTTATAAAAGAAATCAATCTGACAGTTTTATGTCACTTCTTTAAACGGTGTCAGATTTTCACCGTAAGATAAAAAATGTGTGGACAGGAGTTTACAAAAAGTTTTAGTGGGTTATTCTTCTGATATGTGTTTGTTTAACATCACAAATTTATAGCGTCGGCATGCCAGAAAGAACAGTCAGGTAATCCCGTAAGTAGGGAGCGCGCGAGTCAGCCCTGGAATGGGAAGAGTGGCGAATACTTAATTAAAAAAAAATCATTTCAGTACAATTCGAAGACATAAAAGGATTCAGAAGCAAGTGAACGTTGTGAGCAATCACGATACAGTACAGTCGTTCGATCCATTATCACGATGAGCATGTTCTCGCATTTTCGAAAACTTCTTACTCACTCGTCGGATCAGACTTCGACTGCGTGGCTCGCTCTTCTGAACTCCTTCTTCTGGACCTTTGGTTTTTCTGCTAGATCCGTGTGCACTGGAACGACGATGAAAACCGGTAGAGTCTGACGGAAATTGTAATTTAGCTAGACTGAGGAAGGATCGAAAGAGTTCTGTGATGTTGACGCCATCTTTTGCAGAACATTCCAAGACTTTGACTCGAAGTCGAGGAAGTTCACAGTAAACCCACTCGGCGACGTCTTTTTTTGGCAACTCTCGAAGATCAACGGCTACGTCCAGTTTGTTCCCAACAACAACCATGGGAATCTCTTGAAAGTCGGCACGCTGTTCCCGGATCTCTTCAAGGCACTTCTTCAGGATTTCGAAGGAATCCCTGTTGGCTATGCTGTATACAAGAAGAAAGGCCTGTGCGTTGGCTATAGAGAGTCGCCTCATTGCTGGAAACTGCATGTCGCCAGCGGTATCCAGGAAATCCACTCTCAGGGTCATTGAGCCCACATCGAACTCCCGATAATGCATATCTTCCACAGTAGGACAATGTTTCTCACTGTAGGTGTCGAAGAGAAATCTGTTGATGATAGACGACTTTCCAACAGCTGATCCCCCCAGCACCACCAGCCGCACGTGATGAGATGAACGTTCGCTCATTGTCTATGATTCTCTCTACAAAAATAACAGAAAAGTAACAGATTATCACACTTATAAGGAAAAACGATTACTTTTTTTGTTTTACCGTTTATTGCTTTCCGAAAGTAGCATCATGAGATCAAAGTCCATTCTGACACGGACTACAAAGAAACAAATATGTATACTACCTAGTTTTGTTTAGTTTTAGAGGACACGATGGAAGTAAGTGAGTTCTTTACTTTAAAAACGTAATTACTAATAATTATATTCTACAAGTTATAAAACTCAGTAAATAATCTTGTTTACCGTTACCTGCCCCATACGACATAAACTCTTCTAGTCAATACCACAGCTAAGCTAAACCTACAGGAGCAAAGAAGAATGTTTCAAATGCTATTTATATGTAACGGTAATCTTGAGATGCAAAACGCTTATAGGGCAAAGTAAGAAATGCATTTGGTTGCGTTAAGCATATTAAGTCTTTACACGTGAATTGTATTATAGCATAAAAAACAGGCTTTCATATAGACGTTTCACTAGATAACAGAACCAGTAGTCTAGATCAAATAGTCGACTTGACAAAATCTACAAATAGAGTAACTAACAGAACCGACAAACAGTCAAATTAACAGAAACAACTCTAACCTAGTTAAAAGACCCAATCCAAAAATAGTCTAGCTGACAGAGCCAAGAAATAAGTCTAATTAACAGAAACAACAAATAATCTTAACAGAACCAAGAAATAATCTAGTTAACAGAAGCAAATAATAATCTTAACAGAACCAAGAAATAATCTAGTTAACAGAAGGAACAAATAATCTTAACAGAACCAAGAAATAATCTAGTTAACAGAAGAAACAAATAATCTTAACAGAACCAAGAAATAATCTACTTAACAGAAGCAACAAATTGCCATATTAATAGAACCAAGAAATAATCTAGTTAACAGAAGAAACAAATAATCTTAACAAAACCTAGAAATAATCTAGTTAACAGAAGGAACAAATAATCTTAACAGAACCAAGAAATAATCTAGTTAACAGAAGCAACAAATAATCTTAACAGAACCAACAAATTGCCTAACTAATAGAACCAACAAATAATCTAGTTAACAGAAGCAACAGATAATCTTAACAGAACCAAGAAATAATCTAGTTAACAGAAGCAACAAATTGCCTAACTAACAGAACCAACAAATAATCTAGTTAACAGAAGCCAACAAATTGCCTAACTAATAGAACCAACAAATAATTTTAGTTAACAGAACCAACAAATTGCCTAACTAATAGAACCAACAAATAATCTAGTTAACAGAACCAACAAATTGCCTAACTAACAGTACCAACAAATAATCTAGTTAACAGAACCAACAAATTGCCTAACTAATAGCACCAACAAATAATCTAGTTAACAGAACCAACAAATTGCCTAACTAATAGCACCAACAAATAATCTAGTTAACAGAACCAACAAATTGCCTAACTAATAGAACCAACAAATAATCTAGTTAACAGAACTAACAAATAATCTTCACAAACTTAACATATAATCTTACCAACAGAATCAAGAAATAGTCGTGTTAACACAAACAGATAAACGTACACACTTAACAGAATCAATAAGTAGTCGTGTTAACACAAACAGATAAACGTACACACTTAACAGAATCAATAAGTAGTCGTGTTAACACAAACAGATAAACGTACACACTTAACAGACTCAATAAGTAGTCGTGTTAACACAAACAGATAAATGTACACACTTAACAGAATCAATAAGTAGTCGTGTTAACACAAACAGATAAACGTACACACTTAACAGACTCAATAAGTAGTCTATTGAGTTACAATTAATGTGTATGAGGTTCTAAAAATTTAGTGGCGCTGTGTTTGCAGGTGGTTGGAGCGCTCGACTCGCAATCTGAAGGTCGCGGGTTCGAATCCCCGTCCCACCAAACATGCTCACCCTTTCAGCCGTGGGGTCGTTATAAAGTGAAGGGCAATCCCACTATTCGTTGGTAAAAAGAGTAGCCCAAGAGTTGGCAGTGGGTGGTGATGACTGGCTGCCTCTCCTGTAGTCTTACACTGCTAAATTAGGGAAGGCTAGCGCAAATAGCCCTCGTGTAGCTTTGCGCGAAATTCAAAACAAACCAAACTAAAATACAACAACAATACTGTCTTCAACACATTGTTACCACAGAACCAAGAAATCTGTATTGGACCACTAAGGAACGTTCTCCGAGAAAACCGAAACTACTTAGTATTCTTACAATTGAATATAGAACACACATGTATGATTCAATAACACCTTGAATTTGTTCCTGTCAGGTTTCTCAGGCATTTTATTCCGGTACTGTTCATAGAGTTAGGGTCGAATCTGAATTATTTGATTTTTTATATGTTCATTCTTTTTTTTGCCACACGTCGCTGTCTAGGAAGTCTTTCGTTCAGTACAAAAACGTGTCAGCAGATAAACATTTGTCCAGAATGAACATTTAATGTAAGATTTGAAACGCTGAAAGCTGGCGAAGAAATAAAGCTTAATATTAGCGATAAAAATTCAGTCTGAG